TGAATCCAGTTTCTCCCCTTACTTACACTGCTGCGTTTTATTTTCCTATTTTCCATAACATAAATTTAATTTTCCTATTTCCATAAATTTATTAAATTCCCATAAAAGCTTATAAAATTAACAAAACTTCCTTAAGCAGGTACATCCCCGCCCCAATCCCGAGTCCCACCTTAGCTGCATGCCCGTGCTCCACGAGCAGACATCCTTCCTCAGCAAGAGGTTGTTCAGGGCGACCGCGTTGATCATGTAGAAGAGCTGCTTGAAGACCTGTTGCACGATCTCTGGGTCCAGACCCTGGTCACACACGATGCTGTGGAACGTGTTCAGCTGGCGAATGATTGAGTCTAAGCTGTAGGAGCTGTCACCATCTGCCATGCTGGAGGAGCGATTCCTGTAGCCCATCGGTTTGACACCAGAAAGCCCTTGGATACTCTCATTTTCCAACACCGCAGACACTGAAAAAGGGGGGAAAAATGAGCCAAAAAAGCCTGCATCCACCTATTAGTCACTGAAGGTAAGAAATGCTCCTTCATGGGCAGTCATAAACATGCAGCAGTGTCAAAGTGTAGCAACACGGTGGATGTTGGGAAGTCTGAAAAGGAGGACAGATCCATGAACTGCTAGTTTATTGTAATAATATGAAATAGTTGATGCATATAGAATATCTGTAAGATCACACTTTTTTTTCACTCTGTGTTACTACACAGAAATCACTTACCATGCTGCAGAAACTGGGAACACCTCTCCTTCGAGCTGTAATCAATTCTCCCTCTATACCCACCACAGAGCCTTGAATTCTGCAGTTAAAGTGAGTAATTGGCTCAAAGGATGGGGAGAAATGAAGGTAGATTAAAAGTAATAAAATTCTTACAGCCTGAGTAACTGATAAAGGAACAGGACAACTTTCTGCAAGGAGCAGGAGGTACATGCAGCGATGGTAGGAGGTGATGCCATCGGATACAGCCAGAATTTGTGCAATGACATTTGGAGGGTAAAGGGAAAGGTTCCCAGAAACAGAGGAGTCCAGGCTGGGAGCTGAAGGAAAACACCAGCAGCTAGAAGACATAAATCACTGAGAACAGCCCCTCAATTAGCTTAGCAAGGAGGAGGACAGATTTAGCTGAGGAGGTAACTCTTCTCATACTGACTCACCCTTGCAAAACAAGGTCTTTATTAGTCTCTTTTTCCTCTTCCCAATTCTCTCCTCCCTCATAATGCACATTTCCACCCATAAAAAGCTTAACCATGAACCCGGTCTGGAAGGGAACGCTGTTCTACGGACCCACCAGCACCGCCTCACCTCTGTCACTACCTCCCCAACAGAAAGGAAGGAGGTATCATACCATGGGAGAAAAAAAACTTCGTCCCTAATAGTTTCTATCACGGGGGAAAATGAAAACTCATCCAAGGTCTGCCTCCCTAACTCCAGGTCACTACTAACACGAGGACCTGCTCCAAACCAAGACTTATTTTTGTAACATATGCCTCTCTACCAACTGCAGGCTTTTCCTTTGGGGAGAAGTCATGCTAGCACCATACAAAGGTCTGGAAAACACTCAGAGTAGAAAATGACAGCAAAAAAAACCCCTCCTAAAAGCTAACGTGCCGTGAACTTACCAATCATGGGCTGGAGTATGCCCTCCGCTATCCTAATGAGCTGCTGGTAGATCTGGATGGAGAGGTGGCTCAGCACCTGGCGGTACTCAGTCAGGTCAAAGTTCCTCAGACAGTGCTCATTCTGTTTAGGCGTGTTTTGTGTCATGAAACCCTGAACAGGAGGAGATTAAAACACCTGGTTTCATTATTCCACCTATTTATAGTCCTGTAAAATCACAGTATTAAAAAAAAAGCAAACCAGAGTACAATATATCCAGATATGGTACCAAAATACATTTTTACTCTCTTATAGAAAAGATCAAGACTCATAAATCACCTTTGATTTACTCAGCCATTTGTTTATAAATTATTACTAGGGGGTTGCTTTTTGAAGAAAAGCTAGGTTTTCCATTTTAGCATTAGCAAGGAGTAACATTTGTATTAATTGCTGTATATGAACTAGAAAATGACATTTCAGTCCCTGAGAAACTTTTTTTAGTTATTTGTTTACCCCCGTGAGTTGCAGTTGTTTATGAGAAACCAAATATTTTGAGGTTAAGATATTAGAAAATGGGGAAAAAAAATTATGATAACGACATGCTATATCCTCTGACAATGTTTTAAACTGATCTGAAGTTCACAAATCTCTCCAAGTAACTGAATTTATTCCCTGCCTTTTGCTGAAGCAGCAGCTGATCTCTGATCCTGCAAATGGATGCTGTAAGCCCCTGAGTTCTGGGCTCGGACATTAGTGCCAGTTTTGCTGGCAGAAGCAAATGTGATCTAACTTAATTTTGTAATTAACACAGATGCTTTAATTGCCTGTTCTTACGGTCTTACCAATTTGGTGTCAAAATGAGAACTATGCAACTTTTTTGTTTGTTTGCTGACTAGCAAAATGTAAAAATACAACATGTACAATTTGAGTTGACTTCAGAATTTCTCATTTTTCCTGACTAATGAAAAAGTGTCGTGCTCTTTGCACTGCAAGATTGCATTTAGTTTGGGTTTTTCTTTTAAACTTGTTTTCTTAAAAATAGGTTGGATTTCAAAGTAAAGATAACAGTATTTTGGAAACTGCTCAGAATGATTTTTCCCCTCTGTTTTTTGAGCCAAATTATCAACTGAATTTCCAAATAGCTGGTTCATTTAACACAGTAAATCATAGCAAAGAATGTGAAATTTAAGTTTTGGTGGTTTTTTTGTTTTTTTTTTTTTTTTTTTTTAACCTGCTGGTTTTCTGGGGAGGATTTTCTTTAAATGTAATGTTGTTATCCAGGCAGAAGAGGGCAAATAGGAGCATAACTATTAGTAAGTATTATCTAAATTATTTTTCTTTTAATTTAGATCTTGGAAGTCCAACACTAAGGTTTTACACACCAGTCATTATCTTGTGAAAGACCTGAATAGTTAATTTGATTCCATGAAAATGTTTTAATTTATTCTTAAAGCTTGATTGCCTAGTATATCTAACACAAATCAAGACTAAATAAGAAACAACATAATTTGGCTCTGTTGAAAGTTTTAATACCCAGAACATATGGCTATAAGGACGGCAGCGTGTAATGTACTAAGAGCACTGTGATGATCTGATTTTGTTGGAAGGGATCAGCTATAATAAAACTTACTTCAACTTATGAAATATCACTGAGGTGGCAAGAAATGAGAGGATTTCCTTCCTAAATCTTACATTATGATTATGCATTTTTGCTCTCAAAGTGTGGTTATTTTGAACTAGTTGAACAGAACAAGGAAAGAAAAAAATCAGCAAAAACATTCAGAAAAAAATTGCAAGATTTGGAACAGTTTTCCCCTCTCTAAATATCTTGGTTAATGAAAAGCTGTGGGACCTACTAAAACAGGGGAACAGCCTTCAAAACAGCCTACCAGAAGCACATCCCCTGTTCAGACAAATCAAAGTGCATGGTCGGCTATGAAATTAAAAATATTCTGGGTATTAGTCAGATAATGTTGCGTGTTATGCTGTAAGGGTCCTGGTTTCAGCTCTTAAACGTCTCGTCTCGGTGCAATGCCCCATGAACCTCTATTAGGAGCTGCCTCACGTTATATCCAAATAAACAAAGGAGGGACGTCAGAGATGACCCCCTGTCGTAGCCAGAGGGAAGCCACCAGACCCAAGAGACCTGAAGACCCTTCCTGGAGGAATGCCAACATGCTCAAGATCAGCACCGAGTTTCTTACCGCATCTCCGCTGTACTGCTTTAAACAGTGCAGGAGGCGACACGTATTCGCCAGCCAAAACGATGTCATCTGAAAATCATCGTTGTGTTTCTGGAGGAGCAAAATGAAAACATGTCAGACCCCTCCTTTGGTGGGGGAAGCTGGCAGAGCAAGACAAAGTGATTTAGAGTTTCCCCACCTAGATCAGGACGCTCTCTCTCTGCAGATGGGCAGTATTAGTCATTTGTTCCCTGCCAACATTTTTTTTTTTAAATCTGTAAATGCAAACGATTTTATTGCTAAGATCATAATTCTCCTTGTTTTTCTAAAAAGGGAAGCTATAAGAGTGATTGGGTTGAAAATCACTACGAGCGCTGAATATCACACACTTTGACATGGTTATAACCATCTTACACCATCTCAACCCCAAGGCAAGAGAAAACGGACACCTACCTTCAGCACTTTCTTAATGCCGTTGATGGTGGAGGTGAGCAAGGAGTGCACTTTCTGGTCATCGTTGATGTAATCCGCGTGTCTGATGCACATGTAGAGGATGTAGGCGGGAAGGCAGGGAACAGTAGCAGACACTGCCTGGGGCTTGAGATCTAGAAGGTTTGGTTTGATTTTTTTTTTTTTTAAAAAAAATCTTCTTAAAATTCACCAACTACCAGGTGAAACAGGGAACACCACAGCTGGAGACATACCCAGGCAAACCCCTCTCCCCCAGCTCTGGGGAAAGCTGAGATTTTGGCAACTTGCATCCCTCTCTGCAGTGTGGACACAGAACCAGAGGTCCAACTACAGGACAGATGGACCTGCTGGAGCCAGCCAAAGCAGAAAAGCCACAGCACCAGGGCTTGGGAGGGTAGCACAATCTGCACTGAAATTTGTGAGGCTATGACATTATCCTTTAGGGATGCACAGATGTGCACAGGTGGCACTAGATCTTCTTTACCATGTAAAAGCCTACTCAAAGCAGCACACAAATAACCTTAGAAAAGCTCCCTGAAGCTTTCAGGAATACCTCCAGCAGGTTATAAACCCCTCCTCTGAATTCACAACTCAGTAAATCACTCTCTCCCTCAAGATACTGAATCCTAACAGTAGCTGCGGGAATTTGCAGCCTCTAAAGGAAGAGCCTGTCTGATTAGGGAAACTTCAAAGACCACAGCAATGGGCTAGTACAGCTCTTTTTAGATCCTCACTGGACTCTGCTGGGGTTAAGAGAGTGATAGTAAATACTAACACTTAGCCAGGGAAGCATGACTTCTCTAACAGCGTTGAATAAGGGGATGCTGGCAGCAATTCTGATCAGACTTTCCAGCGTAAGAGAGCTCACAAGTTTATTATCTGTTATGATCTCATAAATCAAACTACCTTTCTTCCATTACTGTGCAAAATCCCCAGGATCTATCCCTTGCTATCCCCTCCCCATCTATTACCACATCGTATCAAGCTCAGCAAGTTACTGCCTGCTCTAAAAACTGCAGCCTCCTTTCTGCATTTTCCGTTTTTTGCTCACCCTGAAGAACTACATCCATGCTGGTCTATCTGCTTAGTGCTGCGCTGCTTTACCTACCAAAACTGCTGTCACCATAAACGTGCAGCCCCAGGAGGGATTAATTTGAGAAGATCTATTTGTCTATCTTGAGATCTCAAGTCTACAAACTCTTCCAGGCAAGAGAAGGAGAAGCCGGGCACAAGAGCAGAGCAAGTTCCTCACCTGTAATGAGGTTTCGGATGAGGAGTGGCTCATCCTCTTTATAATATTCCAACATGCCCTGAAAATCTTTCTCCTTTCTCTGGACAGCAACTTGCATGTTACGCTCGTGCCGCCTCCTCTCCGCTGGTACCATGGTTTGGGATGCTGTGAAGAGAAAAGAGCGTGAAAGGTGGTATCTGGTGATCAAGAACTATTCATGTCCTCCATTGGCTTTAGAGGAGACACCAGATCAAAGCATTATATACTAAGTTTCAATATGTCATCAGCTTTGACAGACTTATAAAAATATAAAGAACCAGGTCTTGAATTACCAGTCAGCAGTAGTTCTGACTCTGAATGACACAGAGTGCAAAAGTTAGACCTAAAGAGGAAAAGATGAAGTCGTCTTTTTTTTTTTTCCCAAGGAATCACAGGCTAGAAGAGGTAGTAACCCTACGGGAAGCTTTTTAGTGTATCATTTTCACACAGGAGAAAAAAAATAGCCAGGCGATGAAAAAATACCTAAGCATCACATCTTCTGGCTGGCTATAAAACTGAAGAACTGCGGTGGCACACCACTGAGCATTGCGCTTCCATAAAAGTTTAATAAAACAGAAGAGACCGGCATGCAAGTACTGCAGTAAAGAGCAGCCTGCTGCATGCAGATTACACTGATGGAGACCAGCTGTGCTATCCGTGGAAACCCTCCAGTAATTCAGCTTAATTTCACTTAATGCCTAGTTTTCAGAAATTAGCTCATGAGAACAAGCTTATGTGATTAATCACGGCATCTCCAGAGAATGGGAAGCTCCTTCTATACAACACAGATGTCACATTTGAGGTGTTTTCTGATCAAGCAGAATATACATACATATTTTAATCCTACGTGGTTTTAATCCCCTTCAAAATTGCCAGAACAGAGCAGTTGCCTGCTGGTCTCTCTATATCTCTGTTTGAGTCACAGCATTGACAGCAACAAAAGCAAAAAGGTTTCTTAAATGCCCTCCGAACCCTGGCACATCACACATCAGACCAACACCTCCAACAAGCACTCGCCCTCTACCACTTCATGGACCCTCTTCCAAGTTTACCACGTTCAACCACATTAACAAGCTACAGCAGCGCAACGGTACTTGCTCAAAGGCAGCCTAAGCATGACCCAGGAGCTTCATTTGGACTTTCGGTTCCCTGCTGTCACGCCAACGACGAGCTCAGGGCTAGTTCAGTGGGCCAGAATGAGCAAAATCTTACTTTAATAGAAAGAAAAAGAGAAAAAACTGCAGCTCTCCAAGGCTGGCTAAAGGAGTGAAACCAGAGTGCTGTTCCCCCAACCCAATGTCTACCAATGGCCAAGTCACCTTCAAAATCTTGGACCTTCTTCATGTAAATCTTCAACTGCTTCTTCAGCTTCTTTTCATTCTTTTCCAACCTCTCTAGCAATTCTTTAAGATCCTGAAAAACAGAAGATGCATTAGGTTAAAAAAAAAAAGAAACCCAAGAACAACTTATTTGGGGTGAGTTTGAGGCTGAAGTCACTTGGCCAGAAGCTCACAGCCTGGCCTATGCACCACTACTGCACAATGCGAGCATCTTGGTAGAAGAAAAGCTGTGTTATTTCTGGGTCGCTCAGAGAGACCCTTACCTATACCGCCATGACTGCGGATGTTGTGCGCCTGCTTCTAGAAGTAGCCTACAGCAGGCAATACTCAGAACACGCCACCCAAAGCATTTTTACTCCTGGTCGTTAATCATATTTAAGCAGTTCCAACACTATTTAGATACTAGAGTTGTTGAGAAAGGCAAGCAGCCCTCACCTCAACTAAGGAGGGGCCAGTGTTCACTCCAGACCTCGCAACACAGATACAGGAGGCAAGAAAGGAAAAATTTATTATCAGCCAGGCCAGCTTTTCAGAGTGGCAACTGCCCCACACACTCCCAATAAATGCAAGTAAAAAGAAAGGATTGTTTTATCTTTGTGCATAATTACAGAGTATAGGGGTCCCCAGCGACTTCAGTGATCTCGTTTGGTAGGCAGTGCCACAAAGTAGGTAGGCTTAAAAAAAATAAAAATTAAAAAATAAAGTATCTAGGAAGTCACAAGAGTCACACAGCCAATGAACAACAGTTCAAGGCCAAGTACCAAAGCTCCCAAATGCACCAATGGGAGATGTTGAAGGATCTTGCAGAGTTTAGGAAGAGTAGGAAGACACCCCAGTGCCTTCTCTTCGCCTTCATATTTCCTATCTCCTTTCTTTCAAGCTGTTTTTTTTTTCCCCTCTTCCTTAGGCTGTGTTTTCAGTACAGCCTCTTACCAGATTTTCGTTGGTGAGACGTGTAATTTCTTGCTGAAGTCCAAACTCCACCTGGGCCTCTGGAGACAGCTGCAGAGTCTGCAGGAAAGCCTGCTGCTGTTTCTCCATCTCTTCTTTCATTGCATCCACCTCGTTTTTCAGAGCTTCTACCTCCTCCTCATGCTCCCTTCTCTGATCCTGGAGCTGTGCTTCCAGTAACCTGAGAAAAGGACCACACCGATCAGCCTGTGATCTTAGCATCGTAGCAGTAACCTGTTTGAGTTTAGATCCTTCAAAGTCAGCCAACCTGGGAGATGTTCCTTGTCAACATCCCTATAAAACTGACACACACAAAGGGGTGCTACAGCTATTAGTGCGACATTAGTCTGTCATCTGTTATACTGCAGATTAAATATTTTTGAAATTAGAGCCATAAGATCAAAAGTTTGGGTTTTTTTTTAAATAAAAGGAAGGGGGGAGGAAAAAAAAAAATCCAAGAGCTCCCTTTTTTCTGCAACTGTATCACAAATTTGGATTCCTTTAGTCTTCCCATTAGCAAAAAGCAAATGCATGGCAAGAAAGCAGTGCAAATCAACACCTGCGGGGTTTCCAAAAGCTCAGCTTGAAGGGCATTTGTTCTTCTGCTCACCCCCTTTCAAACATCAGTTCTCACTCTTGAAAACCGAACTGCGTGTCTTGCAAATGGCTCCGTTCAGTTGGACTGCCACAGGCTTCACTTGCTACTGCTGGGAGTTTCAAGAAAGGCAGGCGCTGAAACCCTTCATTCCTTCTAGTTGTTTGTAGAGTTGCTATTTATCTTTGCTTAAAAAGAAGTATATTCATTTATATCTCAATTTTCATCCATAAACTACCTGCAGAAAACTGTGGACAAGGCAATTTCCTGTCATCTTGGATCAGTTCCTGCTTTCATCATTGCTGCTGACTTCACCAGGACTCTTCAGCAGGGAGAAAAAGGCTTGTTTCCTTGTACTCCATGACATACAAATACCACGATACACAGCTGACAGAAGTCACCAAAACCAGACCTTCTCCCACTTTGAAGTAGGTACCCAACTTTTTCCTCCAATAACTTGTCCTGCCACCCTCTCCTGCCCCTCTTTCCCCTACACCAGGTCTCCTTCCAGCCCTGCCCTAAGCCTGTGCCCAAGGACAACCCCGGGGGCGGGGGGGGAAATGCTGAGCTAAGGGGTTAGTAAGGCATTTAGTTAAAGCATTATGCAGCCATTTGCTAAACCACAATGCCTTCATTAATCCAGTGGAAGAATGATTCATCACTCCTGTACACACCCGTGCTCATGGGGATGCTGACAAACCTAGCAAGTGACACGGTAATTAATTTTTAAGGGTAGTGCCTACCCTCTGCTAGATGGAAATCTCCTCGTTCATTCACCAGCTCTTTCAAGAAGACTGAAATAAGTGACTCCAAAAGGTATGAGGACTCTGAGGAAGGGGCATCAAGCCAGAAACTGCAAAATATCAGTCCCAGACTACACAGGGCGATGGTGGCAAAGAGGAGGAATGACCCACGGGGTTAAACAAGCCCATGTCCCTGCTGTAGCTCATGGATGTGTTCTCCTGGGCAGAGCTACGGACAGCCACACACCCAGCTCAGGGCCTTCATCTCTTCTGGCATCGGATGCAAACAGCAACCCTCAAAGGTGAGGAAGACTCTGGTGTCGATAGCTCGGCATTTACCCAGGACATGCACAGACACAGAGCTGTGCCAGTGGGGAAAAAGCTACAGCTCTTTCGGGTCCACTGGGAAATTAATGGAGATTCACGCCTGTGAACTGCTTCCCTGCAGGAACAATTAAGCATGGGGGGTTTTTTTGTTGTTTTGGTGGGAGTTTTTTTCGTTTGTTTTGTTTTTTAAAGATTGCATAAAAGAACACATGCTTTCTATGGAAGATTTCTGCATGAAAAGCATTAATCATTCTCCAGTTTGTTTTTTTGTTGTTGTTGTTTTTAGAAGATCTAAACAACCCAATCTGTACTCCCATTTTCCAGCAAAAGATAGAAAAAGATATTTTCCAACTATAGAAACATGGGCAATAACGCATGCAGCCTCGTAATCATGTTGTCAGGAGTTATATTCTTAATAGGCTTGGAAAATACAGGCCCACCGTGAAGTAAGTATTAAGTACTTAATTTTCATTTTATTTCTTCACGTGGGTTCAGATTAACCATGAGCCGCCCTCAGAAAAACACGCTCTTTCTACGAACGTGGGTTTCTACACTGCTTTGAAAAACAAATGAATCATCCCTGGTATTTTTCCTGTTGTTGTCTGGTTTTACTCTGATCCCGCTAGATGTGACCGCTTTAAAACTACTTTATGCAAAAGATTATTTTAACTTTTCCTCTCTATAGTGCCCTTCATCAGCTCATTTCATATATTATAAAAGTCATATATATTGGAGCCTCATAATCAGTCTGCAGGAGAGCAGAGACCAACTAACATTTAATAATCAGCTCTTCCAAGCACCAGGTTGAACCAGGAGAAGAATCCAGGAGTCCTTCTGCCTTGCTTTAATCTCCATTTGTGTTTCTAAACATTCATTAGCTCGGAGATGAGAGATCATCACAGAATCACCAGCATCCCCAGGAGATATGGAGGTTGCAGGTACTGCCCTGGTGTGTCCCGCTGGGACATTTGCCCACCAGTCCAGAACATGGGGAGAGCTGTGGAAGGATGGCACTGTGTGTCCACCACTCACCTTCCTCCTTATACCTATAGGCAATGCATGGATGGGAGTGCGCAACCCCTGGGAGCATGCAAAGCAGACGGCATCGCAATACAAGTACACAGACTCCACTTCTGACATATCAAGGATTGGGAGAAAACGCTTTAGGGGAGGTGCTATATCTTAGTGCAAATTCAGGAAAAAAACATCTAAAACTTTTTTTTTTTTTGAGCTTCCTGGAGATTACAGCTTCCCAACACCTTTATCACACAATTTCCCATTAACGTAACATAATTCTTACTGAATCACAGCTCAGGCATTAGTGACAATAGCCACCATCAGCAATGCCCAATTACAATTGCAACAACTCCTCTGAAAATTAGAGGAGGGTCTCGATTCCTCCAGTTTGGATATCCCACCCGCCAGCTGCTCCCAGAGAGGACAACAGGTGCTATAGAGGACAACAGGGCAACAGCAGAGGAAGAGAAAGAAACAAAAGGGCAAGCGAAAGGGGGAGAGGAAGCAGTGGGGAGAACAGAAAGTCTTTGACCTGGCAACTTGCTTTAAACCTTGATAAGCCAAGCCGAGCTCTCCATCTTCATTGAGATACCCCCAGTCCTCAGTCTTGCTAGAAATAAAGGACAGAAAAAGGAAACAAGAGGACAGAGAAAGACAAAAGGTCAATTGCAATAGAAGAGGAAAAGGTGCAGAACCCTTATTAATTTTTTTTTTTAAAAGCACACTTTCATTACATTGTATTTTCTTTTCCACCATGCTGAAGGAGAACCATGCCCTGGTCGTGCCTCCTATGACACTCCTGACTAGTGGAGCTTCTCCTCCCTCCCCAGCTGTGAAACGCATCCTCATGAAGCCCTTTCTTCCCCGACCCACTGCAGCCAACACGAGAACCCAAAATCACTCAGGTCAGAAGGAATCATCGCAGATCACCCAGTCCAACCTCCTGGCAGGTTATCATCATTCCTGAGATGTTACTGTTTTTTACCAGAAAGCCCAACTCTTGGAGGTCAGAGCCAGAGTTTTCATTTCTGTACAGCTAAACTGTTTCCCATACGATTGCAAGGAAAAGCTGGCAAGCCCAGGCCACACCAGCTAGCTCAAATCCCCATTAAAACCTTATGCTTAAAGACCAGGGAGAAGAGACAAGGACCATGAGGGATAAATGAGAGAGCAGAAGTCAGCACGAGGGGTAAGGAAGAGCTGTCTGAACACAGATAGGTAAAATGAAAAGCACAGAGTGGTCCTTAGAAGCTCCCAACAGGCTTCCTTGCTTCCCCCGCACCAGAAATTAACTATTTTTGAGCTGGAACAGCCCACATGCACTTCCAACCCACAGTGCAAACATAACCCTACCCCACTGTTTATCGCATACTGATAGCTTGGAACAGCTCACTCCTCTTCCAGACCTTCTGCACTCTAGCACATCTCACTAATAAGACATTTTTCAGAAAAGTTTCTTCATTTCCTTCCTTCTGCAGCAACTGCCACTGGTCTAAAATAAAATCTCTTCCTTCTACTTCAGTTGAGGATCTCCTCAATCACCACGTCAAACACATCAGCCTTTTCTCAGAGCAACCTTTGGTCCAAACACCCCTTGGATGTTTGTTTCCTTACATCCATATGAGACCAAATCTCCTCTGTATCCATTCAGGCAGAAAAATGCCCAGAAAAGTCTCATCTCACTTTAATACTAGAAGTTTCCTTTTAACAGTTGATTTGTTTTCTTTTAAGTTATAAAAGGCAGGAAACTCATTTATCTTCTTTAATGAGGTGTTGAACACGTTACAAATGAGTGATGTAAGCTGGTCAACCTGACCAGGAACACTTGCTACAGCGAAATTTTACTTGGCTTTGATGTGAGTTAGAAAACAGTTTTTCTTTTTGGAAATAATAATTTAAAAAAACAAACAACAAAAAATATCACTTAACATATCATTAAACTTTCAGAGGAAAAAGAACCAAGCCAGTATGCATCTCCTATTATGAAAAGAGGTGTAGCAGGCATTCCCTGGCAAGGAAAGCTCTGCATATTTAAGTGGAAAAGCACAAATTTTCACACAAGGAAAGCAGTGAGAACTGTGGTGTTGCAGCACTACCACGAAAGGACTCAAGAGGTGTTTCACCGCTGCAGACAGCTTGTATGTCCTTTCCATCTTGGTGTACCAGCATGGCATTTCTCAAAAGTAGCAAACATTTCAGACATTAACGTTTGGAAAATTCATCTGTTAAAGCCGTATCTATGAATTTAGATTAAAACCTTATTTTTTACCCATACATAGCAGGCTTCCAAAAGGGTCTGTAGGCTGACAGATACAGGGAGGTTTATTGGTCTGATATGGGTCAATTTATTAGTAAGGTCTTTTTTTGGTTCAGAGAATCTTAACAGAACATGTACTTCAGCACTGAAAACCAAGGAAAAAACCAGGAAGGGTCCTCACTATCTATTACATGTCAGTAACCTGGGAAATCTCACATGATGAGCAGCATTTTTAAGATAGACTCCTTTGAAAAATAGCTTTCCTTCCTTTTTTAATCATATGCATTGTGGTAAATGAGGAAAGCAGCTCAAGGGGGTGCCATTATACTAAGATAAAACTGCTCTGGGAAATGAGCATTCAGCCCGAGTTCATCAACACGGCACTGACTCAGAAATCACTGAGCTTCCCTTCTCCCCGAAGTTCATATTAACCAAGACATTAAAAGTCAATAGGGGTCCTTTATAACTAATTAGATTAATTAGTATGTGCCAAAATACTTAAAGCATGGCCAGCAGGTCGAGGGAGGTGATTCTGCCCCTCTACTCTGCTCTGGTGAGACCCCACCTGCAGTGCTGCATCCAGAAGGACATGGACCTGTTGGAGTGGGTCCAGAGGAGGGATCAAAAATGATCAGGGGGATGGAACACCTCTGCTATGAGGACAGGCTGAGAGAGTTGGGGTTGTTCAGCCTGGAGACGAGAAGGCTCCGGGGAGACCTTATTGCGGCCTTTCAGTACTTAAAGGGGGCTTAGAAGAAAGATGGGGACAGACTTTTTAGTAGGGCCTGTTGCGACAGGACAAGGGGGAATGGTTTTAAAGAGGGGAGATTCAGACTAGACAGAAGGAAGAAATTCTTTACGATGAGGGTGAAACACTGGCACAGGTTGCCCAGAGAGGTGGTAGATGCCCCATCCCTGGGAACATTCAAGGTCAGGTTGGACAGAGCTCTGAACAACCTGATCTAGTTGCAGATGTCCCTGCTCATGGCAGGGGGTTGGACTAGATGACCTTTAAAGGTCCCTTCCAACCCAAACTATTCTATGATTCTAAAATAATTTCCTAAAATGCTGGGTAAACCCTTCTCTCAAACAAGTTTGAAATGAGATGAAAGGACATGATTCACAAAACCTCATTTCTCCTTTATCCTTATCTTGGAGATACGGGTCTGGGGGAGCAGCTGGTGACCTGCAGTGGGCAAACCGCCGTCATGAAAGGGAGAGAAATTCCTGCCCAAACACCTCCCTCTCCTCCTCCAAGTAGCTTAAAGGAGGTGCACATATACCAAACCCCAGAGATATTAATTTTAGCATCTTCAGATAATTATCATCTCTTAATAAAGAAGAAGGGGCATTTCATTTTCAAACAGAGATATGTGCTTTTTTTTTTTTTAATTAAATGGAAAACTAATGCACATCACAGATTAGATGTACGACAGAGTGGGAAGCAGTGATAAGAGACACACTGGAGAGTGGTAAGCAGAGATATGAACCCTTTCCATGTGATGGCCGCTTCCAGCCGCAAAAGCATGCTCCGCATGAAGCCAGCGTCATGCCTTCACTTTGCATTGCAGCTGCAGGTGGGACTTACCCAGCAGGAAAAAAAAAAAAAGAAAAAAAAAAAGCCAAGGACTCTACAGAAATCACTTGGAAGTTACCACAGAAGTTAATTTCAAAGCCTAAGCCTGATCTGTTTTGAACTGCCAGGTTATTATCTTCAGAATTGCAATCCCACCAGAAAAGCTTTCCATGAAAATATTTATTGATCAAGATTAGAAAGAGAAAGCAGTTTTATTTCTCATGCTGACACACTTTGGTATAGAGCTGCATAAGTACGAATGCAAATTTGTGCTGGGGGGAGGAAATGTTAATTTATATCAACAAATACAATAATCCATGCTCCCCAAGCATTTGTTTTCATCTGTTTTATTGCCATCGACTCCAGGAGTTTATAAACCAACACAATATACAAACACATGCACAGGGAACCATGTAACGGGGAAGCTGGTGGTGATTAACCAAGCCATCGGATAAATCACCACAGAAAATCAGGGTGATGGTACGTAGAGCTACTGTTACTGTAGTACAAGAGCCAAGCTCCAGCCAAGCTTCTTATGAGAGGTATACAAGAGAGGTAGTAGGAAAATGAGCCTGGAGACTACAGATATCCCCTCCTAAATCTCAAAAGGCCAAAAACCACCAAGGCCTGATCACATGAACTTCTTTAATTGCAGCTCACCTGTGCAATGGCAAGGAAAGAGATTTGCACACTGTGGAAAATAAGATCATTGCAGCATTTTTGATTATTTCTCTGTGTGATTCCATCCTCACTGCAGAAGCTGTTAAGTCTGGAAACCAGAACGGCTGAAGAAGGACCAGAGTCTCCCAGCAGGTTGAGTGAAAGTGGACAACATGCACTCCAGGGTGACCAAATATCGATGACTGTTGGGGATCAGTGATAGAACCTGGTCAGACGCATGCCCTATGAAAGCAGCAACTCTTATTTTGGACTCCATCTCCTTCACCAACACCTGAACACAAACTAACCATCCCTACACATGCACACCGGAAAATACAGGTTAGGAAATAATTAACTCTGTGCCTGACAATGGGATTTTGCATCCCATACCAGTGCCCATAACTCCAGGAGAAAATTGGAAGGAAATAAGAGAATATCCACAGAATTCATTAAGTGACCAAAAAAACACAGCTTGCAGTAGGAAGCACACTGAGCCCCACTAATTTACTGACAAAAAGGTGATGTTTAAATCAATCTCCTCACCTCTACTGCAGAAGGGGCAGGAATTTCATCAGCAAGTTCACTTCAGGAAAGCAAATATTCAATGGCAACAAACTGAAAAACAAACACTGGTCCTGATCCAGCCAGACATGATGCCCAGGTAAGAAACCAGTATCATGAGAGTCCTGGACCCCAACACTCCCCACTCCTCCAGGTCCCCAGGCCGAAGTGAAAGCTGGCAGTACTGGTGTGGGCAGAGCCTCAGTGTCCAGCCATCAGGGTTTTAAGCTACGTTTAAATGCAATGCATGTGGAACCCAGCCCTTCCATCAAGCCCATCTCTGTACTCACACAGGGTAACTAGAGACATCTTCACAGGTTCTCCCAGGACTTTCCCAAGAAGTAAAATAGATGCAAATTCAGAAAATCCAGCCCATACTCTGGCAGGAATTTGGGGGACATACAAATTTGGATATGATGACCAAAGTTGACCGCACAGCTATATATACATTGAATTTTTGCACATCAATCCAGGCACATGGATTTCCCATTGCACCTTTTTGGCCATCCAGTTCTGAAAGCATTAAGCAACTCTTCACAATTTTTCATACTGCATTTAAAGATAGTGTGTCTTTGCTCATACTCATACAGGTATGAATAAAATCCTAATTAAGTCATGGTCTTTCCCAGCCTGGACTGCTAACAACCTTCTGCAACCAGTTTATAAAGTGCCAAAGTATACTGTGTTATTAAAAGCCATTAATCCACAACAGTTAGGTCTTCCACAACAGTTAGGTCTTCCGACTACCTTGCTGAACGCAAATTATTTGGGAAAAAGCCTCAAACGTCTCTATTTGTCAAGAGAAAAGGAGATGAACATTCAATTTCCTTGCAATAAATATTTACTTACTTTACATATTATCTTGCTGTTTAATCCATGTAATTTTGTGTTCTTGCAAGATACTGCTTTTTTATTTGATGTCCTCCTGAATAGCTGCAAGGATTGATTTAATGCCTCGCAATATAAGCCCATTGTTACTATAAGGACAGACACATGTTCACAATATTAACCCTGGCTATGGGAAACCTGTAATCAAACAAATGTTCCTGACTCTCAGGTTAGATGCAAGAAAACCAGTAATATGGGTGTTGCCAGGGAATACAACATGTGTTCATTAGCTCAGTTCACCATCATAGGCTTTTGCCTCTGGGAAAAAGAGAGGGGAACCGTGCTCTCTTCCCAGCGTAGCATAAGGACTTACTTGAAATAAGTAACTCTTAAATATATCCCAAATTCTAGTCTTGCTACTGTTTATGTACTGGAAGCAAAGTCAAAATCCAGTTTTGCTCACTTCTGTGTTGGCTTTCCTACCTGCCCAGTATCTCCCCTCCTTTGGGGACACACTGCCCCAAAGACGAGGGCTCCTCACCCATTACAAGACCTGCATCTTTCGTCCCATCTTTATGGTCCGTCCTAGACCCAAGGTCCAGAACACAATTCAGAAGCTGGTAATTCTCTAAAACGTGTTGTTAATTTTGGTCTGGATCCCATCTCTCACACTTTGGTCAGCCCCTCCTGCTGCTGGAAAAATTTGGACCACACTTACCGGTTCGTCTCGCACATCCCCTGGTAGGCTTCAATCGCGTCCTCCTGATCAATGTGCTTGTCACTGTTTGGCCAGCTGGCGTTGGTGGTGATGCTTTCCTAAATTCAACATGTAAAACACAGCAGCATGACATCCTACATATCTTCTCCTGTCTTTCAAAGTTCCTGATACCAAACAACACCCAACTATCATTAATACAGCTTCCTCAGGGCATTCATCAGACTGGAGAGTTTCTATGAATTCATATGCATGCAAACAGACAGCAGCAGAGATTATGAGATGGAGGGAGGACGCACGAACCCAGGAGGGAGATAAGGGGGGGTGTGGTCTGAAATACAAAACATACCAAAATCTCGAGGAATGATAAGGCAAGTGAATTAAAAAGCCCAAGTGAGAGTTTTCAGAAAATGTACTCTTCCATCAGAACAGGCTCTAAACAAAAAGCCCTCAAATGACTGTGATGGGACAGGCTCTCTTCTTGCCTACACGCCATTAGAAACACATTACAGCTGCACCAGCATCAAGTGAGCAGAATCTGGTCCAGAAGTTCTTTCTCTCCCATCCCATTTCCTTGCAGAATAAACCAGTTGCCACAAAACACCAGCAGGGACCATCTCAGACCACCACACCTTGGTGCAGGGCTGGCTAGACCTCATCAGGTCTGGGGTCAAGCACCTTGACAGCAGTACAGACCACCATGGGACATATAGTCCTGGGCTGTCTGAAATGATGTCATGGCCTCTATCTTGTCCATAGGCAGAACCTCCTATAACCTCCCTGTGCCATCCTGCCACCCAGAGTCTACCAAAGCAGAAAGGGCATCGCTCGGGCAGGCAGTGAATTTTCAGCAATAGAATAGGAAAAGGAAAGGAAAATCCATTACCCTCTCAATTACCATGTTTTTGCCCACCTCTTTTTGCTGGGCTGCCTTCATAATCTGCGTCCTCAGGATGAGCACCTCTTCCTTCCGCACTTCCAACTCCTCGTTGGCCGATTTCAGCTGATTCAGTAAGAGATTATAACTGTCCTGAATATCGTTGGACGAGTTGTTCAGGGTTGCTCGGTCTGCAATAGCCTTCCTCAGCTCATTAAGTTCATTTTTCAGCTTCTTGTTCTCCGACTCCAGTTCTTGCCTCTGGAAATATCAAGTCATTAACCAGTTTAGATAAACTCTCTTGCAGTGCCTCATCCTTTTCTGAGATGCCTCTAAGGTAACTCAATTACCAACGATCACAGCCAAACAATCAATTCATGCCAGGATCTGGATTTTGCTGCCCGTCCAGCCATGCATGGCGCAGAAGAGATTTTTGCTGTAATCAGTAGCCTGTTGCCATTTACTAACAACGCTACAGGGTGACACAGGGGAGATTTTTTTATTTGTTGATATTATGTTTAAACACAAAAGCAATCCATTAGAGAAGCCAAACACGTTTGTTTCTTCTCCACCCCTTTTCCTTCTCAATCAAGAAATCACCACAAACCCCACAATGTTTAGCTCATCTTTCATATTCATTAGATAAGCTGGAAGATTCTGATTTACATGACCCTTCATCATGGCAGACATCCCATTAGGTGAACTACGGCTGTGTTAATTCCCGCAACAGCTTCTTTTCTCATAAATTTTGTGATTTCCCTACCCGGTGCAACATTTGCAGTTAGATGATTTTCTTGCCCTGACGTCTCATCAGCTGTTGGCATTTGACAGGCAGGGGCAAGACAGTACAAGTTTGACGCCAACTGCTTCTCCTGAATAACGATGTATGAGCATTGCCGTGTTTGCTGAGACAACTGAAAGGCTAATTTGCTTTTGCATGACAGTAGAAGATGGAAGAATCAAACTCCGGCAGCTAAGACAGTCTTTCAGTATTTCACCACGAAGCTTTGTTTGCAAGTGATAACACCACATTTGGCAGCTCTTTGCCAGCACCCAAAACCCACCTGGAGCATCCCAGCTGGGTCAAGAGCAGCTTTGCTCCTGCGGATGGTGCAGTCCTTGCTGTGGGTCACAGACGGGGAGGGAGCCAGACTCCTGGGGTCCTGCTCGCAGCCCGACTCCCAACAATTCACTTTCTCTTTGCTCTGGATCCTCCATCACCAGCTCCTGCATGGTGGCACCCAGGACTGCTCCCTCCTGTCCCCATGCACCCAGGCCTCTCGGACAACGCCAAAACCCAGCAGGATCCATATCCAACTACTGCACAGCAAACACCGAGACATCTGCGAGCGAGCTGACAAAGTCTGGTGTCTGGCTGATTGGGGTCAGCTCTTTCCTAGGGACCGACCCCCCATGTGGATTCTCTAGCGTCTACAATAGCACAAGCTCTTTCCCCACTGAGATCCAGGTGCTTCCCTCTCCCCACTACCTTTTGACCCTTTCCACAGCTTTGTTGCACGATCCCTCTTATCTATGGGATATCTGCTTCATTATCAGCTTTGGCTGAGGCAAGATAACGAATCTGAAAATGGCTGGTGGGGATGGGAGCAATTTATACAGTGTGTAGCTAGCACAGCTGTGTAAACCTCGTTTCTATAGGAAACGGGTGTTATAATTACAAATCCTTACAAATTATAAATAGCATGCATTATCACAGCAGAGGTGTGAACAGAATAGCTGATCTAGCATCTGGACATACTCCTAGCTGAACAAACACCATCAGTAACAGAGCATAGTCAGGTACTTTATACCATCTGTCATAGAAAAAAAAGAGGATAAAAAAATGCATTTGATCCAGCAATTCCTCCACATGCACGTTAACCACAGCTCAGCAGAGGGAGCGTATGAGCCACTGGCTTTTCTGTAACTGTTTTTTAAAACAAGAGTTTGAAAAGCGTGCACGTGGTGGAGAATCAATATCAAACTGGGTTTAACTCTTCTTGCCACGTGGCTAAAGCATCGGCCCGCTCTCCGCTCTTTTCTGATCGTGCTCAGAGACAGGTGAAGGGTAAGAAGAAAGCGGTTAAGTGTTTTCTACACAAATGGCTCTTCTGTGATTTTTGTTATTTGCTGGATAAGACCCCTGCTTTTCTTATTTTTCCCCTTTTTTGCCTCCTCCTTTTTTTTTTTTTTTTTTTTTTCTTTTTTTTCCCCCCCCCCCCCCTTTTTTTTTTTTTAAATGGGTAAGCCGCACTTGTAACTCCAGGAACTGTTTGTATCAAGCTGTGCTCTGGTTAGAAATGAAGCCAGAAAGATCAGGAAAGAAAGTTATAACCGACAACCCTGCTCCAAAAGCTCATACCCTGGACTCCTTTCAGAGCTTACAATTAAATTAATTCCCTACTTCTTGGTGGATTTTGGGCATGCAGCAATGTTAAAATATCTATAGACATGGGGAAGACACCTATCGTCCCCTGCCCGTACACCCTTTTTGCACCAGCATCAGTGATGGCAGAACAGAAACTAAAATAAAATGCTCTGAATATGGAAAGGGAGATTTCTACTTGCGCTGTGAGAAATGCTCTTTCTTCCGCATAGTCCAATAGTGCTGATTTATTTGACAAGTTATACAGTCAGAATATCCTGAACTTGAACTCACACTTGTCCCACACGTACAGCATTATGGAGGTGTGAAAGGGGTACCCGAGCCCTAACAGTGATGGAAATAGCCTCGCTCTTTAGGAAGGGGCTTATATAGCAGTGCTGGGTGAAGTATGAGCCTGTGTAAATCAGAGGTTAGCACTGCCATGCCAGGAATTTGCCCTCTATTCTATTTCTGGTACTTGATAGGAAAAGAAAAGAAAATCCTCTAGAAGCTCATTTTATGATGAGCTTCCAAGTCTAAGGGATGAAAGAAACATCCCAGCTATGTGAAGAGCAAGAAATCAAATTACGCATTGTGCTCCTGCTAGGAACACAAAGTCAGGGCAAGGACTCTGGTGCTTTCATTCCCACTCGCACTTTCCCAGGCTGAAAAAACAAGCCGGAGAATACACTTTTCACTGGGGAACTTTTTGTTGTACAGGCATGACTCAGGGACACATCTCCCACCAGGGAGATATTTCACATACCTCCAGCCCTGCATCATGGCTAACCTAACCACCACGGCTGGGCATATTTTGGGACACCATCTACTGAAAACTCTATTTATCAATTACAAAGGACACGTAATTTATGCCTGCTGTAAATATATCAGTGTTAGCCCAAGTTTCTCGCATCTCTTTGCGGCGTTACAAAAAGTAACACCCAACCCTTATCCAAATGAGCCTCCCTAAGGAAGGGCTGTGCCTTTCTCGCTTCCCTCCATCAAAATCTGCACCAAGAGCAGGCTTCCCACCAAAAGCTAATCCCAAGGCAAATCCCTGCCATCGTGGGTGCCGTGACAGTACAGGACAATTACACCGAGACACGAAGCTGGATGACAGTAGACACGTATGAAGTAGAAGACCATGTGCTGGTTGCAAAAACCAAGCCCGCACGGCCATCCACTAACACCCACACCTTATATTCTCCTGCTCAAGGGGCTGTGCATGCCAAAAACATCTTGAATGGGACCCAAAAGTGAAAACTCAGGTCACAACGAACTGAACAATACCCAGAAACATCCTTAACCCCCAACAAAACCTGCTCTTCAGCAATAACCATATTTATTACATTTACCCAAACTGATATTTGTATGCATTATTTCAAAATAATGCATATACTTATAAATATATTTACATTTGCACTGTTTATTGTATTTATATACTTATACTCGTATTTATCCAAACCATACCCTGCCATTCATGACCTTATCCAAGCATCTCTTGCCCCACCCAGTGCAACATGTGGTGTAGGTCTGCACTACCAAAAAACAAAAAAACCCCACTCCTTACAAAGCCTATCCCAGAAACTATTTTTCTAAGGACGAGCAGGACACAAGGATCAGCCTAACAGTCAAGACCAGAAGTATTTGGGTACAGTTAGAGCAGGAGGACACAACCCACACAAGCCGCAATAGGAGCCCAGCAGGTTTCAGTTGCTCTGTATGTCGTAGGGAGAAAGTGACGGAAGCAGAACTGAAAGGATATAAAGCTTAGGGACAAGAGGAATTGCAGGGTAGAGCAATAGCTGGGAAGACATGTGACAACTATGGTCCACCAGCACTGCTGCTGGGAGATGGAGGCTGTTACTACAATCCATGCAGCAGATTTTTTTGGTGTTGACTTGACTGGCACCTTGGGAACGCAAGGAAAGCAGAAAAGTAGCAGAGTCGGAGCCTTGAACAAGACACACGTTGGGCTTCAGCCGCAAGAATTCACACCTACTGCAGAGCAACTTCTAAGACCTGCAGTGTCACGTCAAATGAAACCCAAGAAAGTCCCAGTGGGAATACGTGGGAAAAAGCACCCTTCACCATAAGTGGGCTTGTCACCGTCGTGGAAGACTCAAACAGGTAGATCAGAGCAGAACAGATGTTGCCCCAGAGAGAAACATCTATAAGCCCATGCTATGCCCAGGAGCTGATGGAGAGCTACAGCTTTCAAACTGTTAATCTCTAATAGTCAGAACCGATTACTGGAGGTTTTGGGTCATTGCCACGTTCAGACAATTTGTTTGGGCTATTAGAGCCATGCAATAGGATACAGCACTAAATAGGAGCTCCTCACTCACCTTCAGACTGTTGTATGCAAAATCTTCACGGTCCGAAGTCACTTCAGTCTTCATTTCAATTACCTGCATGGATTAAAGAGATAAATTAATATTTAAAAGCAGCCAGAAGAACTGGCACATGGCACAGGATGGCTAGGCATGCCTCCATCAACAGCCAGCCTGCCGCAGCTCAACCATAATAATGTTATTAATTGCTGTTAGACAGAGCCCCAGCAACACATAGCGGGGTAGGGGCCGCTTCAGGAGAAAATGGTTTAATCTGTCATTAATATCTTGACAACTGTGGCTCACTGCAGCTTTCGAACAATGACAGTCATTAGGGGAATAATCTTCAACATAGTGGTTGGGAAGTAGGTTTTTAATCTGCCTCTGCAGCAAGGATGAGAGGCTGGGGAAGTTTATTATTTCATGTGTTTCCTGCAAATTGCTAGAGGTGATCAGTAAGAATATCTGGTGAAGCAAGTAAATAATTACTGTTGATGATTTTGTTGAGTCTCTTACTGCATTTGTCAACAGACACATAGATCTCATGCCAGAAGGAAATAAACAAAATAATTCCCAAACAAAGCAACAACAGCCCCAGAAATTTCAATTATGAAACCAAGAATGATGGCATCTGCTCAGCATTTTATATAAGAGCATCTTTACTGCTTCACGACACCATGCACACAGCACTGCTGTTTCATGGCAG